GGCTGCTGCCGGAGAACGTCGGGTGCGCGCGCATGACCGCCGACAGCGACAACTCGTCCCCTTCCGTGGTGCCGGCGGCCGCGGCGTCGCTCGCCGAGCTCGACGACGGCGACGGCGACCGCCGCCGCCGGCCGCGCCGCCGCGACCGCGACCGCGACCGGCTCCGCCGCGGCGGCGCGCGCCGCGGATCCCGGCGGCCGTCGCGGTGCGGCTGCGACGGCTCGTCCCGGCGACCGTCGCGGCGCGGCTGGTCCCGGCGACCGTCGCGGCGCGGCTGCGACGGCTGGTCCCGGCGACCGTCGCGATGCGACTGCGGCGGTGCCCAGCGCTCGAAGCTCGGCGACCGGCGCCGCTCGTAGCGCGGCGGAGGCGAGCGCGAGCGCCGCCGTCGCGGCGCGCGCGACCGATGCGACGGCTCGGCACGCATCGATGCTCGCGCCGCGACGGCGCGCCGGCGGCCAAGCAGTGCACAGTGCACAGCCGAGCCGAAGCCTCGAAGCGCGGCGCCGCCGCACGCCGTACGTAGGCAGTCGGCGCTTACCGCACGCGCCCCTATTGCCGCTTGAGCGTGTTGAGGAAGTTGAGCGTGTCGCCGTCGAGGCAGAGGGACGTGCCCGAGGCGGAGACGGCCATGGTCCGCGGCTGCGTCGCGACGCCGAGCGCGGGCAGCGACGCGGCGCGCGCGGGCGACTCCGGCGGCGGCGCGGGCTCGTCCGCGGCGTCGTCGGCCGCGGGGAACATGAGCTCGCCGAGGAGCTGGAAGGTCTCCGGCGGCACGGCGTGGGTCCGCGTCGTCGTGCGCTTCGCGTTGTGGCGCTCCAGGTCAGCGACGCAGCGGCCGAAGAACTCCTGGAGGTCGGTCATGCGCGTCCGCTCCGCGACGAGCACGCCCCGGAGGCGCACGGCGTCCTCGGACTTGACCTCGAGCTCGCGGCGCAGCTGCGCGACCTCGCTCGCGAGCTGGCGCTCGACGGTGAGCGCCGCGGGGTCCAGCGCGGCGTCGCCGCGCGACGACGCGTCGTCGCCGGCGCCGCCGAAGAGCGCCGCGGCGCCGCCGAGGGCCGCGGCGCTCCGGTGGCCCCGGTCCGTCTTGCGCCGGCCGCCAACCCCAAAAAGGCCCGGGGCGCTCGCGGACGCGGACATGTGGCGCGCGTGGTCCGCGCCGCGCCGGCCCTCGCGCGCGCCGCGGCGCCGCGACTCGGGCTTCTCCGCGTCCGGCGCGGCGTCCTCGACGATGTTCCGCGCTTTCAACTCGGCCTGGAGGAGCTTGTGCTGCTTCTTCGACGCCTTGAGCTGGCGGCTGAGCCACCGGCGGTCCGCCTCGAGCGTCTCGTACTTGCGCCGCATGTAGCTCCGGTCCTTGTCCATCGCGGCGATGTAGGCCGTCTGCTGCGCGGCCTCGTTGCGGTACCAGGCGCCGTCGCGCTCGAGCTGCTGGATGTGGTCGTCCTTGAGGATGCTCGACTCGGCCTCGCTCAGCTTGTCCCGCAGGCCCTGGAGCTCGCGGTGCACCTCGACCATGTGGGCCCGGTAGGCCTGGAGGAACTCGGCCTCGGCCTTGCTCAGGCACTCGGACACCGACACCTGGAACGTCGACATCGTGTCCTTGAGCTCCGCATACTGCGCCCGCACGTCCTCCATGGCGGCGCGGGGCCCGAGCGGGGCAGCGCGCTATCGGCTATCACACCAAGGGGTAATAAATAGTATGGGGTGGCAGCTCAACGAGATTATGTTGCGCGAGCTCCTCGTACTGCAACCCATCGTTTTGGGGCAATGTTGACGACTTTTGGCCGGGGACTTTTCGACGCCGCCGTCGTCGACGCGGCCCCAGACGGACCGCAGCGGTATTCGCTCCCCCGCGAAGGCGCCCGCGACAAGACTTACGCGTCCGGGCGGTTCGGGTCCGGTGGAAGGAAACCGAGGCGCGCTGGAGGGCACCGTGTCCGGTTTGGCGCCACGCGAGGAAGGGGGTTTTGGGGCAGCTCTTGGACGTGTTCGCGATGATGATGGTCGTGGACCGTCTGCTGGCGCTGCAGAGCCCTTCGTTGGTACCTATGGATGGGCTCGAGCATCTCAGGACACGAAAAGTTCTCGACCTCGAATGCCCGCACGCTGCCCGAGAAACTGTGTTGCGACACCGTCGGCGCCGGGGCTGCGCAGGCTCTGAGATCGTGGGAAAAGTGTGTCCTGAAGGTTTCGAGCCCCCCGCGGGTACCCATAGGGCGCCTCCAACCTCTAAGGACAAGAAAATATCGCACACTCGACTCACACCGCCGCCCTCTCGTCCCGCCGCCGAACAACCGTCGCGCTCGCGAGCCAACGCAATGATCTCAGCAGCCCAAATTCGCTGCCCCGCCCCGTCGAAGGGTTCCGCAGCCGCGCCGCGCCGCGCGACCCGCCATCGTTGCACTCAGCCCGCGCGCTGCGGCGTGGAAGAAGAAAGAAAACGCTAGCGGCGGCCCCGAGTAGTACGAGGACCTCGCGTTTCGCCTGCCACCCCATCTAGATTTATATCCCCTTGATCACGCGCGGGCGGGCGGCTCCTTGAAGATCCAAGGCAACGTTTGACCCCAAACGTACGGCGATGGACGGCGCGACGTCGAGCCGCGCGCCCCCGCCGGACGGCATGACGCGCACCCCCGCCCTCCACTCGCTCCCCCTCGACGCCGTGAGCCACATCACGCCCTTTTTGGACCTGACGAACGTCGCGAAACTCGCGACGGCGGACAAGCACATCGACGGCGCCCTGCGCACAAACGAGCAGCGGCAGAAGCTGCTCCACCACCTCGACCGCGACCGTTGCCGCGTCGGCGCGTCGACGTCGCTGGAGCACGTCGCCCTGGCGGACGCGGCGCGCGAGTGGGAGCCCCTGGCGGCCGTGCGCGGCGCGGCCGAGTTCGCGGACCCGGAGGCCGTGGACGCGCGGTGCCGGCAGATCGCCGCGCTGCTCCGGCGCCACGGGACGGCGACGGTGCGCGTCGAGGCCCACTGCGACGGCGTCGACGTGCGGCCCTGGGCCCTCGCCCACGCGCTGTCCGCCGAGCGCGCGCGCCGCGTCGCCGCGCGCCTCGCCGAGTGGGCGGGCGCCGCGGGCCCGCCGCTCGACGTCGGCGCCGTCTTCGGCGGCGCCGCGGCCGGTCGCGGCGCGGCCGGCGCCCCGCGCGTCGCCCTCGCGAACGTGCGGCCCCGCGCCTTCGTCGACCCCGCGAACGCTCGCGTCGAGGTCTACCTCCGGCTCCCGCGCGGCGGCGACGGCTTCGTCGAGATGCCGCCGCGGCGCCGGGGCCTCGGCGCGCCCGCCGCGCCCGCGGCGGACTGGCCCCGCCGCGCGGCGCGGGCGACGTCCTGGCCCCTCCGGAAGCTCGTCCACGTCGCGCGCGCCTGGCTCGTGGCGCCCCCCGCCGCGGACCGCAGCGACCAGCTCCTCCTCGCGGCGGCGCGCCCGCGGCCGTAAGCGGCTCCTCGTTGCTCCTCTTGTGTGGGCACAGGACGACCATACGGCGCGAGATCACGATAAAGTCCATCAGCTTCGGCCCCCGATCTTGTATCTTGACTGTTCGAAGCTCGTCTCGGAGAGCAAAGCTGAGGTTCTGTCGACACGTTCGGGCTGCCAATCCTATTGACGATGATCGCGCCGGCGACCCCCGCGGCCAAGGGCCTTGTCCCCGTGGCGACGCCCATCTCGCCGGGCTGCGTGACGGCCTGGGTCGACCTGACGAACGACGACTTTGAGGAGATTCATCCCGACGAGAAAGAGACCCCGCCCCACCACTACGCCCCGAGGCACAAGGACCACGCCCTGGCGACGGCCGCGCCTGCTCGGCCTTCCGCGGACTTCCGCGCGCTGAAGCGGCTCGTCCGCAAGAGCGCGGGCGAGTTCCACGGCCTGCGGGAGCTGCTGCGGGGCCCCGCGCGGGGCCAGGTGCAGCGCGCGGCGCGCGGGTCCATCGGGCGCCTCCGCGCGCGGCGGTGCCGCGGCGGCGTCGCGCGGCTCCAGGCCGTCTTTCGGGGCCACGAGGCGCGGCGGGCCTACGGCGGGCTCCTCGCGCTCGCGCCGGGCGGCCGGCGCGCGTCGCTCGCCGCCGTGCGGGCGCTGCAGTGCCGCTGCCGGCGCCGCGCGGTCGCCGCGACGCCCGCGGGGCGCGCCGTCGCGCTCGCGCGGCGGCGGCCGCTCGCGGTCTACGCCCCGCGGGCGCGCGACTTCGCGCGCGACCTCCTGGACGTGCGGACCCTCGCGCTCTCGAAGAAAGCTGACCTCGAGATGCTCCGGCTGGAGAGCGACCACCTCAAGGCCGACATCGCCCTCATCGCGGGCGAGACGCAGCGCCTCGAGTTCGTCGTCGCGGAGCACGAGGCCGCGATGGCGGGCCTCCGGGACGCGCGGCGCCGCGCGGCCGTCGCCGCGGCCGCGGCGACGGCGGCGACGGACGACGCGAACCGCGCGCGGTGCCGCTCCGCGCCCGACGACCTCCACCCGGGCATCCCGCGGCCCGCGGAGATGGACGCGGCGCGGCGCCTCGTCTACGTCGCGGAGCGCGGCGTCGTCAACGTCTACTGGAAGACGGAGCTCGGCCTCGTCCACCCCCCCGTGCGGACCTTGTGAGTTCGCCGCCCGTGTTACACCCCATTCGAGATACACGTCATCTTGTAACCGTACTCCTCGCCTCGGAGCTCGGCCTCGTCTTTAGCGGACCTTGCAACTTACGCTAGTCGTACTCCTCGCCGCCGTAGTCGTCCTCGTCGTCGTAGTCGTCGCCCGCGTAGTCGTCCTCGTCGTAGTCGTCCTCGGCCGGCGCCGCGGCGGCCGCGGCCGCGTGCGCGGCGCGCGGCGCGGCGCCGTCCTCGACGGTGGTCTCGTCGGCGACGGACGCGAGGCGCGCGCGCTTCTCCGCGCGCTGCGCCTCCGCGGGCGCCGCGGTGCTCGCCGGCGCGACGGCCGCGCGCTTCCGGGGCCGCGGCGCCGCGGGCTCGGGCGCGTCGTCGCCGAAGATGCCCTCGAGGACGCCGTAGTTGATCTTCTTGGAGAAGCGCTTCTTCTCGACGACGTCGATGAGCGCCTCCTTGGCCGTGCGCGAGTCCTTGGACGCGCGCGCGCCCTTGGCCTTGCCCGCCGAGGCCTTGCGGCCCCGCTTCGCCGCCTTGTCCGACGGCCCGCCGTCGGGGCCCGCGCTCGCCTCCGCGCGCGCCGCGGCGAGCTTGTCCTTCTCGTCGCGCTGCGCGAGGTAGTCCTTGTTCATCGTCGTCCAGATCTCCGACTTCTGCTTGACCTCCTCGTCCGTGAGGATGAAGCCGTCGATCTCGTCGTCGGCGACGTCCGCGAAGTCGTCCTCGGCCTCGTCGCCGTCGCCGTCGTCGTCGTCGTCGTCGCGGGGGATGGGCGCCTTCGCCGCGACGGCGCTCGTCGCGGGCGCCTCGGCGTCCTCGTTTTCCAGCATCTCGCGGATCTCCTCGTAGCACTTCTCCCGCGCGGAGTCGAGCTCGCGCTGCCGCTTGCCGACGCGCGACGTCCGCGTCGGCGGCGCGGCCTCGAGGGCGATGGACCCCTCGACGATGTCGCTCGAGCTCGCGACGAGGGCCGTCTCGCCGCCGGCCGCGGGCGGCGGCAGCGGCGCCCACGCGGCGCCGTCGCGCCGCGGCTCGTCGTCGAGCGGCGCGAGGCCCTGCTGCAGGCGCCGCGCGTTCTCCCGGGACCGCTCGGCGCGCTGGAAGGACGGCGGGTGCTCCTCGGCCAGGTCGTCGGAGCGCCGGTTGAACTCCGCGAGGCTTAGTTGGGCCGCGGGCGTCGCCTGGAAGTCCGCGAGGCGCTTCGCGACGGTCATGCCGCAGACCCGCAACGCCTTGACGACGTCGTCCTGGGTCCGGTGGAAGCCGTGGGCCCGGGCGCCCACGAGGAGCGCCGCGGCGCAGACGCCCGCGGGCCGCCGGCCCGTCTCGATCCAGTCGCGCTTCATGCGCTGCACGACCCTCAACGCCGTCGTCGCGACGGCGCCGCACTTGTCGCCCAACTCCAACTTGGCCGCGAAGCGGTGGATGTAGAGGCTCGGGTCGATGATGGGCAGCTCCAAATTCAACAAGCGCCGGAACTTGAGGAACGTCGCGCCCAGCGCGTAGACGTTGACCTGGAGCACGTCGCTAAAGTCGATGAGCATGTGCGCGGACTTTTCGCGGCGGCACATGACGTAGAGGCACGCGCAGACGACGTGGAGCGTCTTGCGGCCCTGCGTGAAGTTGCGCTGGGCCGCCATGCCGAAGAGGCGGTGCGCGCCGTCGACGAAGTGCGCGCCCAATCGCAGGCTCGACGCGACCTGCGCGATCTTCCGCCGGCCCGTCGCCAGCGTCGTCTCGCGCGAGCTCCGCAGGAAGCCGTAGCGGGGCCGCCCGCCGCCGCGGGACCCGCCCCAGCCGCTGCCGCCGAGGCCCCCGAAGGGCTTCGTGCAGCTCGCGGACACGAACTGGCCGACGACGGACGACGCGCCGCCGCCGCTCTCCGCGAACTCGATGCTCGACACGATCGTCGACTCCTCGCAGACCGTGCCGCAGCGCACGCAGACGGCGTCGCCGCCGGCCTCCTGCCAGTCGATGTCGATGGACCCGCACTCGGGGTTCGGGCACTTCATGGCGGAGCTCTAAACGTCGGCGACGCCCTTCGCCGTCTCGCGCGCGGGGCCTCGCGCGGCGCGGTGTCTTTTGGTGCTGGCGTGAACGGGCGTGCGTGGCGCGTGCTGCGCGCGCCGGGGGGGCTCGTGGCGGGGCGTTTGGCAGCGCCTGCGGGCGAGACGAACGTCGCAGCCAGGCGACGGGCTCTGTGAGCTCGCTGAGCAGCTCGGCATCAACATCGCCAAGAAGCAGCCGAGCTGCCCCCTGCCTTCTCAGCCGGCGGATCTGGGTGGCCCGCCCGCGGCCCGCGCCTGTTCCTCGACGGCAGCCCAGCGATGCGCTACCGCGAGACGAGCGCCACGTCGGAATTCATGCCGCGGAAGAAGGACCCGGTCCTCGACCGCTGGCGCCGGGAGAACAGCGTCGTCGACAGCCTCGTGAAGAAGCTGCCCCTCTGCAACGCCGACGAGGAGGAGCTCTACACCAAGGCCGTGCGCACCCACCTGTCGACCGACGGGCCCGACAGCCTCTGCGACCTGGCCGACGGCAAGGGACGGACGCTCCTCTGGCACGCGACGCGCGAACTCGACGACAAGGCCATTCACCTCCTGCTCAAGGAGGGGAACATGGGCCGCACGGTGTCGCGGTCGACGCGGTCGAGCTCCAGCGTCGACCCCGTCGCCCTGGCCCTCGAGCTCGGCCGCCAGGACCTCGCGGACATGATGCTCGCGAGCTGCAACGCCATGGTCGTGCGCCACCGCGGCTCCCTCGACAAGCAGGCCGTCAGCGGCCGGGACCTGCGGGGCGACCCGGGCGCGTCCTTCTTCTTCTGCTGCGCGCCCGCCCAGGAGGACACGCTCGCGCCCGCGGGGGACGACTTCTAACCTTGTGCCTGTCTGTATACGTACGCGCGTGCCAGCGGCGGTCGACGCCCCGCGTCGCCTCCGTCGCGAGCGGCCGCTCGTGAAACGAATGTGCGATGTATGTACATGGGCGCGCCGCGCGCGGGGGCTAGTGCGCGCGGCGGCGGGGACTCCGGCTCCGCATGGCGGGGTACTGGAGCGACAGCTTCCAGCAGGGCACCTCCGTCGCGAGCTCCCAGGCCTCCGCGTCCGCGGCGACGTTCGCGGGCCGCGCGCGCAGGACGCCGAGCTTCTCCTTGTCCTTGAAGGTGCGCTTGCCCTTGTCGGGCTTCATCTTGTTCTTCGGCTTGCCCCGCCGCGCGAGCTTCGCCGCGTCCGTGATGAGGACCTCGACGACGTCGAGCCCCTCGAACCAGCCGTCGCCGTCGTCGCCCGCGTCGACCTCCGCGCCGTAGCGGCTGTCGGAGAACCAGGCCGCGACGTCCGCGGCGAAGGACGCGCAGGCCTTGGAGCCCTTGAGGCCCGGTACCCAGCTCGTCCGCAGGAGCACGTTCGCGCCCTTGCCGTCGCGGACGCGGAAGTAGCTGTCGCCCTCGGCCGCGCACGCGAGCATGGCGCTATCGGTGGCGCCGTCGAAGCGGCCCACGAGGATGGGGATGCCCCGGGGCGACGAGAGCACGAGGCCGTCGAAGCCTACGAGTGCGGCGGCGTGAGAAAACGGCGCGCGCGCGGCGATTCGAAGCGAATCCGGCGGTTCCCCCGCGCGGATCCCCGAAGAGGCGCCGGCGTCGCGCCGTAGGGCCGCGCGCCGACGGGCTCCGTCGCCCGGGCGTAGGTCGCCGGCGAGAACTCGTCGAGGACCCGCCCGAGGAGCGCGTCGCCCTCGACGTGCTTTAAAATTTGTTCCGGGTCCTCGCCGTACTCGAGCCGCTCCATGAGGCCGTCGATCTCCCGCTCGACGAGGCTGACGTCGTTGAGGAGCTCCGTGACGGCCTCGGCGCGCCGCCGCTGCTTCTCGAGGATGCGGTAGTAGTAGGCAAATGGCTTGCCATACTCCAGCAAACTGCCGATGCCCTCCTGGCGGTCCAGGAGCTCCTCGCGCTGCTGCTCGACGAGCTGGGCTTTCGCGACCGTCAGCACGCCGCGCAGGTGCGTCGGCGTGTAGGCCGCCGCGCCGGCGAGCAGCGCGGCGAGCATTGTTCGTCGAGGCCGCTGCATCGGATCCGGGTTTCTAGTCGAATGTCCGAAGGACACGACGTGGTTTTTTACCGCAGGGTCTCTCTCTCTTGGCCGTCCCTACGGTCCATCTTGACGAAATCGTGGCCTGCTGACAAGCGAAAAGAAAAATGATCGGGTTTGCGTTTATGTCAACAACGGCTCGTCAATTTTGTGGGTCGCGCCCTCGTGGAAGCCCGCGGCCTTCGGCCACCACACGCGCAATGTACATGTCTCAAGTTAGGAATGGGGCTCTTCGGGTTTGAAAATTTCTCTTCGTTCGGGTGGCTGCTCACAGTTCGGCGACGTTGGCGTAGTCGCCGTTCTCCTCGTCGCCGTCGCTCGCGCGCGCCAGCGGCGCCGCGGCGGGGGGCGTCGACGGCGTGTAGGGCGGCTGCGCGCTGTACGCGGTCTCGCTGTCGCGGCGCGGCGCGAGGCGCGCCTCCTTGACGGAGATGTGGAGGACCTGGATAATGGGCTGGCCCGCGTTCCAGCGCGAGTGCGCGTCGAGGGAGTTGCGGTAGAAGACGACGGCCTTCATCGAGTAGGTCTCGGCGCCGATCGGGTAGTCGGACGACGCGTTCTTCTTCTCGAAGCCCGGCGGCGCGGGCTGCTTGCCCGAGGCGTTGCGCCACTCCGTCACGCGCAGGTCGCGGCTCGCGTCCGGCGGCGACGGCGCGCGCTGGCTCGGGTTCCGGCCGACGACGACGTAGTAGCCGGGCTTGTAGGCGCGCGTGAACGTGGCCGTCCAGGGCTTGCCCTTGACGTAGCACCCCGTCTCCGGCAGGGCCGCGATGGGGCACTCCGCGGGCACGTAGTCGGCGTGGAGCGGGATGCAGCCGTGGTACCGCCGGCCGAAGATGTCCTCGACGATGCGGCGGCAGCCGGCGAAGTCGCCCGTCTCCGCGGCTTCGAGGATCTTGCTGCGGTAGATGTCGAGGTCGACGCAGATGGCGGCGCAGGCCGGCGCCATCGCGGTCGCGCCCTCGGACGACGCCGCCGCCGGCGCGGCGCCGAAGAACGACGCCGCCGCCGGCGCGGCCCCGAAGGCCGGCGCCGCGGGCGCGCCGAAGGACGGCGCCGCCGCGGGCGCGGGCGGCGCGGTCTCGCCGAAGGCCGGCGGCGCGGGCGACAGGGCCGTCGTCGTCGCCGCGGTGGGCGCGGCGGGCGCCTCGGGGGGCGACGCCTCGGGCGCCTTGCGCTTCTTCGGCGCGACCGGCGCGGACGCCGAGCCGGCCGGCGGCGACTTGCGCCGCGGGAGCGGCCGGAGCGAGAGCAGGCCCTGGAGCGTCGTCACGTGCTCGCCGCCCGTGACCTTGCGGTACCGCACGGCGTCACCCCTGCCGTCCAGCTGGTAGCCGTAGGCGTTGAGCTGCCCCGTGAAGCTCTTGTACTTGGCCCCGCGGTAGTAGTCGCCCAGGCGCTTCTCGAGCGCCGCCGTCGACGGGATGATGATGTCGCCGCCCTCGAAGCGGATCTCCTCGCACTCGGAGATCATCTTGGCCAGTTGGGCGACGAACTTCACCGGGTTGCGCGCCGAAGACGCCGCGAACGCCGCGAGCTCCGCGGCGTAGTGCGGCGCGGTCTCGCCGAAGGCCGGCGGCGCGGGCGGCGCGGGCGGCTTCTCGCGCACCTTGCGTCGTTTCGGCGCGGGCGCCGCGAGCTCCGCGGCGTTGCGCGCGCCGCCGACGGGCGCGGCGTCGGGCTCGCCCGGCGGCGGCGGCGGCGTCGCCGCCGCCGCGCGCGCGGGCGCGGCCCCCGCGGCGATGACGGCCGCGATGGTCGCGGCGTGCGCCGGCGCGAGCATGAGCGTGGACGGCACGGCCAAGCCGCGGTCGCGCGCGGGCGGCGACCGGCCCTGGACGACCGGCGGCATCGGCGCCGGCGGCGCCGCCGCCATCGCGGGCGACGGCGGGCGCGCGGGCGGCGGCCGGCCCCGGAGGTCCGGCGGCATCAGCGCCACGCGCGGCGGCGCCGCGCCGCGGGCCGCGGCCGCCGCGACCTCCGCGGCGTAGTTGCGCGTGTCGCCGACGGCCCCGACCCCGATGATGGAGGCGAGGTCCTCGCGGAGGAAGGCGTCCTCGACGGGCGCGGCGCGCATCCGCTCAAGGCGCCTGTAGACCGACCTGGGCGCCACGCGGCGCATCTCCTGCAGGCGAATGGCAACCGACGCGACGGAGCGCGACGGGATCACCGCCTGGAGCTGCTCCGCGGACGCCTCCGGCCCCAGCAGCAGCCGAGCGTGCTCCAGCTGGAGCTTCTGCAGCGGCGTCCAGCGGGCCCCCTTCCGCGCGACGTCCGCCAGCGGCGCGTCGGCCATGGGCGCGTCGCCGTCGACGTCCTCGGCGCCGGGCTCGCCGTCGCCGCCCACGGCGAGGCGCCGCAGCGCCGCGATGCGGTCGCCGAAGGCGATGGCCAGGGCGGGCTGGCTCATCACGGCCGCGTCGATCTGCTCGGCGCTCAGCCCGTTCCGGGAAAACCGCGGCGGCGCGCCCGCGGCGGGCGCCGCGCGCGCGCGCTTCGCGGGCCTGCGGTCCACGGCCGCCGCGAGCAGGTCGTCGAACTTCGCCGCGGCGGACTGCGCGTCGCACAGGACGGAGCGCGCGTCGGCGATGGCCGCGTCCGCGGACACGTAGTCGCCCGACTTGATGTCGCGCTCGACGGTGCCGAGGGTGAGGAGCTCCATCGGCGCGTCCTCGTCGCCGTCGAGGACGCCGACGGCGAAGAGCGAGTCCGCCTTGGGCAGCTCCCGGCGGAGCTCGGCGATGACGGCGACGCAGTCCGCGAAGTCGTCGCAGTCGCGCTCCACGTCGAAGACGGCCTTGAGGAGCGCGTAGCCCACGCCCGAATTCTCGCGCACCAAATAGGCCTGGCCCATCGCCTGGAGCCTCGGGTTCGACCCGTTGACCGCCTTCGCCGCCTCCTCGCGCATGACGCGCACCGCGTGCGCCACGTGGTACTCGTCGAAGGACGGAGACGGCGCGCGTCGCGGGCTGGGCTTAGCGAACTCGTTGAGGTGCTTGAGGTAGCCGGCGACGCGCGTCGTGAGCTCGAAGCCGAAGACGCCGTCCGTGCCGTAGAAGTCGCCGACGATGCTCCAGAACGCGTAGGGGTCCTTGAGGCCCGCGCGGTCGCCGACGCCGGGCGTCATCCGCGCGTGCAGCGCGGTGTTGAGGTCGGACTCGGAGAGGCCCGCGGCGTCGAGGAGCTCGGCGTCCGCGGGCACGGCGCCGGTGAGGATGTCCGTGTCCATCAGGAGCATGTCGCCGTCGTCGATCTCGACGACGCGGATCGGCGACAGGCGGACGCCCTTGACGAACTCGGAGAGGGCCTTGGTGCCTCCGAAGGCGCCCCCGACGGCCCGGCACCCGCGCTCCTTGTGCTGGTCTTGGTGCTTGTCGGCAACGTAGCCGTCGCCGTAGAGCTGGGCCATGAGGTAGCGGAAGTCGAGGCGCGCGCGGTGCGCGTTCTTGACCGCGTAGTCGACGATCGTGTCCTTGAACAGGCTCTGGTTCGCCGTCGGCGCCGAGTTGACCCATTTCTTGGTTTTTGGGTGCCAGTTGAGCTTCACGAAGTAGGCCTTGAGGTGCTGCGACGTTTCGAGCGGGGAAAAGTTCTTCGGGTCAATGGAAACCGCCTGGGCGAACTGGATGCCGTCGACGCCTGCATCGGACAGCACGTTCTCGACCTGCTTGAGGAAGCCGGAGGCGTCCGCGACGTGGCGGCTCGTCGGCGGCACGTCCGTGGTGAAGGGCTCCGCGATGAACTTCGAGTCCTTCTTGCCGCCGCGGTTCTCGCAGCCCCATTGCTCCACGCGCAGGAGGGACGTCTTGGCCTCGCGCAGCAACGGGTCGATGGCGTCCGCGGCGGCCAGCGTCGGCGACTCGAGCTCCGACGGGATCGTCGACGGGTCCTGCGCCGTCGACGGGTCCTGCGCCGTCGACGGGTCCTGCGTCGTCGCCTCGAGCTCCGGCGCCGTCGACAGCTCGAAGGCCGGCGACGGCTCGTCCGTCGTCGTCGCCTCCGACGCCGCCGGCCAGTCGCGAGTCGCGGCCGCGGCGAGCCCCGCGACGTCCGCCGGCGCCGTCGTCTTGTCCGCGCACAACGCCGCGCGCGCGCCGGTCGAGAGCGCGAGCGCGAGGATCGCCGTGCTGCGGGACCAGCCGAGCCGCAGCGTCTCCGGCGTCGTCTCGCAGCGCGTCGACATCTGCGGCGCCGTGGACGACGCGCCGGCGGCGCGCAGCAGGCGGCGAGGATCAACGACATCACCGAGACCTCCGTCGGCGAGCCGGCGGACGGCGCCGCGGCGCCATAGCGTCGTGACCGCCGTGGTCGAGCGGCTGCACACGCCCCGCGCCGCCCGCAACATCGTACTCGTCGTGAACGCGGCGCGCTTGCCCGCAAAGATCTCGAGTGGCGCCTCCACCCTCGTTTGAATTTGGGTCGCGGAAAATTGTGTCAGTCACGATCGGCGACATTTTCGACGCCCAGAAGGACGCAGCCCGAGAGCAGCCCCGACGTGCACACCGACGCGACGAAGACGGCGACATAATAGCGGCCGGACTCAGGACGCAGGCGCGGGACGTCGGCGCTGGCCCGCTCGATCGCCACCATCATCACGCTGAGGTTTGGCCCTCACAGCACCTTGAAGTTCCGGATAGGAAAATACCGCAGAGCGAGTTCATCTCGCGAATCGGGGCCGAAAAATGTGGGGCTGTAGCCACCGCCCGGAGGTCATCCCCGCCATGGGACGGACGCCCATGGATATCAACGACACGATCTACGCGCACGCCGAGTGCGCGGACGAGGCGTCGAAGCTCCGGCCGCCGCGGCGCCAGAGAAGAAAACCACGGCCGGGGGCTGAATTTCCTCGCCGATTGAATTTCCTCGCTTACAGCGCCTCCCCGAGCACGACCTCGGCGATCTGGCTCGGCGGCGGGACGACCTCGCCGAGGACCTCGGCGATCTGGCTCGGCGGCAGGACGTCGTGGAACTGGCGCCAGTAGTCGAGGGGGTTGACCGTGACCGTGTCGCCGAGGAGGACGCCGTCGAGGCCGACGGAGACCATGGGGAGGAAGACGCCGACGACGAGGATGATGAGGTCCACGCGGAGCGACACGAGCTTGCGGTCGCGGAGCGTCTCGGAGAACATGGAGAGCGCGTAGCCGACGGCGGACGCGAAGCCGTAGTGGTAGCCCAGGACGCCCTGGTTCGGGTAGCGCTCGACGACGCCGGCCCACCACATGGCGGCGTCGGGGAGGCAGAGGCTGTAGAGGAAGAGGAGCTGCGTGAGGTTCGGCCACGACGCGAGGCGATACAAGATCGCCTTCTCGTTGAGCTCCTCGGGCGTCGCGGTCTTGAACTTGCGCTCCAGGTCCGTCTTGCGCCCGCCCCTGGTCGCCATTTCCTTGTTCGCCTCCTCGGCGGCCTCGAAGTTCTGCTGGAGCATGATCTCCCAGTTGAGCGTCGTCCCCGCGCAGACCGACGCCCAGAGCAGGAAGAACGCGGGCCCCGCGGGCAGCAGCGCCGCCGGGTAGCCCCCCGAGAACCAGGCGGCGATCCAGATGGACATCAGCGTGAGCCCCGCGCCCCCGAAGGTGAAGCCGTTGGCCTTGAGGTCCGTCACGTCGAACATCTTGTTCGACGAGAACCGCGCCATCGGGATCGCCGTCAGCGCGTTCGCGACGCCCGCGACGAGCAGCGACGTCTCCAGCGGCCCGTCGAAGCGCCACGTCGCCACGGCGTCGAGGTGGCCCGCCGCCGTCGCGTGCGAGTAGAGCAGCCAGAGCGGCGCGCCGACGAGGAAGTACGCGCCCGACGCCGCGTGCGCGTGCATGAAATCCGCCTTGGTCCAGAGCCGCCGCCGCACCGTGTCGCCGAAGACCGCGGCGATGGCGTCGCCGCCGAGGCCCGCGAGGCCCTCGGACGCGTCGACCGTGGCCTTGGCCAGGTCCATCTCGACGACGATCGGCGCGACGGCCGCGCCGCCGTCGACGACGAGCGCGTCCTCGTCGACGCCCAGCGCCTCCTCGACGAAGTCGGCGATCTCGCTCCGCAGCGCCTCCTCGACGAGCGCTTCGTCGACGAGGGGCTCCGTCGCTCGCTCGGGCGCGATGGATCTGAGCCGCAGGCCGTCTTCCGCGACCATCTGCATGGGCGGCGCCAGGCGCGGCCGCGCGGGCTGGAACGCCGCCGTCGACGCGAGCGCGGCAGCGGCGACGACGTACCGCGCCATTGTAGACCGGTTTCGGGCTTTATCCGGTGGAAGCCAGGCGGCGAGAGACGGCGCCGGCTGCGGATTTGAGGTTGTCGCGCCTCGCATGCCAGCATGTGCTGGCACGACGCGGCGCACCTCCCACGTGTCCCCCCACGACGAGCTACTAGTAATACGCTGTGAGTGCACGCCAAAGATGAAATGAGTCTCTAATAGGCTTAGGCTAAGAGGCGCCCCCTCTCAAAACCCCCCACCCTTTTTGCGCCGAGCTCCCAGAGGCGGCGGCGGCGGCGAACTCGTTGTCGGCGAGCTCGAGCATCATGAAAAACGTGCGGAAGCCGACCAGCGGCTCGCAATCGGCGAACTAGTCGTCGATCTCCGGGCTTGAGAAGGTCGTCAAAGAGCGTCGTTCTGCGAACTGGTAGGCGAGGCCGTGGGCGCGGCGACGACGTCCGTGTAGCGGTCGGGGACCTCCGCGACGATGGTGTTCGTCGTCGAGACGGTCGAGCTCGTCGCGTGCGCGCCGACGGCGAGCGCGCTCGTCGCGCCGAGACGGTCGGCCGAGCGCGCAGCGTCGACGGCGTCCGCCGCGCGCGTTTCAGGGCTCCCGCGAGCAGCCGACGCGTTCAGCGCCCGCGTAGGGTCTGTCGGCGCCTAGGAGAGCGGCTCCGTGCCGCCGGAGCGGCTCGCGCGGACCGGGTCCGCCGAGGTTGACGCTCGGAACACGTTCCGGCCCGAGGCCGTGCCCGTACGCCGACGCCGTCGTCAAACTCGACGCAGCGCCCAACGTAGGGGCGGGGGGTGCCGGGGCGCCCGGCGACGGGGTCGCAGGCGCCCGAGAGGGCCAGGGGTCGCGGCCAGCGACGTGCGCACGATCCGCTACACGGCTTCGGCGTCCGCTTCAAGCCGGCTGACCAAAAACCCACCCACAAAAAAGGGGGGGGGTAAGACGTTTTTAGTGGGCGGCAAATACGCTGTGAGTGCACGCCAGCGCCCTACCAGCACGTCCGGGACGTGCCGGAACGCCGCGGCGCGCCGCCATGTCCACGACACTAAACGCTGGCGCGCCAGCCTCAAACTTGAAAGCCCTCATGAATAAGAACCGTCGTTACACCCCCTCGGAGAACTTCGACCAGGTGTGCGCGAAGGCCGTCGCGTCGCCGAAGTCGAAGCGCGTGCCGTCGACGACGATCCCGCGGAGGCCGTCGCCGTCCGCGCAGCGCTGGAGCGCGGACGTGAGCCCGAAGACGCCGCGCTGGCGGCGGTTCGCGCGGACGTCGTCGTCGAGGTAGTCGAAGACGCGGGGCGGCAGGACGTACATGCCGAAGACCGTGAGCACGGAGTCGGGCCGGCCGTCGGACAGGCCCGGCACCGCGAGGCCCGCGGCCTCCGCCGCGTCGGGCTTCTCGACCATCTGGGAGATCGCGAACGCGGGGACGTTGATCTTGCGCTGCGACGCCGTGTCGAGCTTGGCGAGGTCGTCGGCCGACGACGCCCGCTTCAGCGGCGTCTCCTCGACGGACCCGGCGACGACGCCGAAGTGGGACGCCTCGTCGGGCGTCGAGTACGCGACGGCGACGGCGCCCTTCGCGGGGCTCTCGGCGTGCGCCGCGAGAAGCTGCTGCGCGCAGGAGAGCTCGCCCCGCGCCGTGTAGAGGTGGTCGCCTAAGACCAGCAAAAAGGGCTCGTCGGGCACCGTCGGCGGCCCGCCGGCCGCGGAGGAGTGCCGCGCGACGAAGTCGCGCGCGCAGAGCACCGCGTGGCCCAGGCCGTCCTGCGTCTCCTGGCACACGAGATGCACGTGGCCGCCGAGGCGCTTCGCCGTCGCCGCGTAGGCCGCGGCCTTGGGCGGGAGCTGGTGCTCGTTCGACGCGTCGAGCGGCGTCCGCATCAAAGCGCGCTCGTAGCTCGCGACGTCGCCGCGCTGGATCACGACGTACACTTGTTCCATGCCCGCGCGGTCCACGAGCTCCGCGATGGTCAGCATGAGCGCGGGCTTGACCAAACCGTCGGACACGTCGAGCACCGGCCAGAGCGGCGACGGCGTCACGTGCGACGCGGGGAAGAGCGCGCCGTGGTAGCCCGCGGCGGGGATGATGGCGCGCCGCACGCCGCGGGAGCCGCCGACGTCGATGCCGCAGCACCACAATCCCAGGTCGTTGGCGATGATCTTCAGCGCCGCGTCGCGCGCGGCCTCGGACCGCGCGACGAACTGGCACGAGCCCTCGCCGCCGCAGCCGACGCCCTTGCCGCCCCAGGTCAGTGTTTGGAGCGGCTCGTAGGCGAGGACGCGGTGCAGCGTCGGCGCGTCGAACTGCGCCGGGCACGTCGGCGCGCCGTATTTGTCGAAGTCGCGCGCGGCCTCCGTCATGAGCGTTCCCAGCAGCTCCGCGTCGCCGGCCTCGACGGCCTTGAGGGCCCGGGCCACGAGGGCCCGGTTCACGGGCCCGAGCCACTCGTGGACGCCCCGGCCGACGTCGTCCGCCGGCGGGCCCGGGAAGGATTTTTGCAGCGACTCGAGCATCAACGGCGTGTCCTTGACGCAGCCGAGGTCGACGATGATTAAAAGGATGGGCTTCGCGACGTCGACGACCTCGACCTCGAGCCGGTCGCCGTCGTAGGTCAGCAGCGTCGGCTGCGACCCGAACGCGCAGGCCTGGTCCATGCGGCCGCAGCGGCTCGGCGTCGCGATCTCGCCCTGGTACGCGTACTCCATCTCGCCCCGCGTCGACAGCTTGAGGCCGTAGCACTTGTTGAAGGCGCGCGCGACCAACACGCAGGCCGCCGCCGACGAGCTCAGGCCCTTGCGCAGGGGCAGCGTCGTCGTGTGCTGGTCGATCTCCACGCCCCCCACGCGGTGGTTCGTGAGCACGACCCACGCGACGCCGCAGACGTAGGAGAAGAAGCCGCCCCCGGCGGCCAGCTTCGCGAGCGCGCGCCGCTCCATGGCGCAGGTGAAGGGGCCCAGGCGCGTGCCGTCGTTGTCCGTCGCCGTGAAGACGAGCTCCGCCTTCGCCGTCCGCCGCACGCGCGCGTAGAGGCCCTGCGTCGTGCCCAGCACGAGCGTCGCGCCGACGCCAATGGCCGGGTTGAAGCGCCGGAACGCGCCGCTCCAGTCGCTGTGCTCGCCGAAGAGGCAGAGCCGCCCGGGCACGAAGACCTCCTGGGCGACCTGCGCGCCGCCCCCGCTCGGCGCGTCGGTCACCGTCAGGCTCGTGCGCGGCGACGCGTCGACGACCGGCGGCGGCGGCGTCGTGGCCGCGGGAGGCGGCGGCGGTGCCATCGCAAGCGCTTAGCCAAGGCTGCCCAAGGCTGGAGTTTCTTGGCGAGTTGTGGAGAAATTTTGACCACTCAAAAACTTGGCCCCCCAAGCGCGCTGCCACCTTGTCCGAACAACCTTGTCCGAACAAGCCCTCGAAAACGCGCCCGCCGGCCGCCGGAGACGCGCCTCGCTCCCATGGCGCGCGTCCTGATGCTCTGCGCCGCGGCCGCGGCCTTCTCCCAGGTCAACAAGGCCCCGAAGAAGGCCTCCATGTTCCCGACGCGGGAGACGCCGCCGACGGCCGTGCTCGCCGCCCAGCTGAGCGCCCTGCAGCGCCGCGACATCGCGGGGACCTTCGCGCTCTTCTCGCGCGCGCGCAAGCTGCAGATCACGGAGACGGCGGCCGTCGACCGGCGGCAGACGGCGATCCCGCTCGACGTCGTGCTGGGGAAGCTCGAGGACGCGCTCGACGAGTCGTGCCCCGGGCTCCTGGGCCACGAGAGGTGCGAGGTGCTGAGCAGCCTCGCGCTCTCCGAGTACGACGGCGTGCACCTCCCCAAGTGGCGCTGCCGCGTCCGCGTGCTCGGCGAAGGCGGCGCGGCGCGGAGCTACCAGTTCCACCTCACGCGCCAGTCGGACCCGCCGCCGCCGACCATCGACTTCGACGAGAAGTACGACAAGTGCCGCGACATCGACGGCTTCGAGGGCTGCTGGTTCGTCTGGCGCATCGAGCCCGAGGACGGCGGCCTCAAGGTCGCGGCCGCGCCGAAGCCCGAGCTCGTCCCGGCGTAGGCGCCGGGGCGATTCGCTGTACATACGAACCATGCTCGGTGTGGGGGAGACAGCAGTGAGTATGAGACCAAAAGAGGAGGCGGCGCGCGGGGGCGGAGGTGGCGGACATCGTCAGAAGGAGCCCCGCGTGTCGGAGTCGGCGCTGTTGCCGCGGCTCCGCGCGCCGGCCGTCACGGCCTTGAGGACCGACGGCTTGCTCTGGCTCGCCTGGCCCTCCAGCGACTTGCGCTTCGCGACGGCGACGCCGTGCGCGAAGCGGTCCGGGATCGCGCCCTCCGGCGCCGCCTGCGGCGTCGACCCGGACTTGAAGCGCAGCATGGCGCGGATGCCGTTGCCCGCCTTCTTCCAGTTGGCCTTCGCGCGCGCGCTCGACTCGTCGCCGCTGATGATCTTCTTGAGGATCGGCGTGGTGCCCTGCGACTCCTTGGACGACGCGCGCTTGCGCGCCTGGGCCTCGGCGTGCGCGAAGCGGTTCACGGGCGGCACGTTCGGGGACGTCTCGGCGAGGGCGGCCATCGGTCAGGGAGCGGGCGGCGCGTGGATTGAGCGCTCCCGGCGGTCGGGGAGCGGGCGGCGCGTCGATTAAGAACTCCAGAGCCAACTGGGGCTACCCAGGCGGTTCACCATCGGCACGTTGATCTCGTTGCTCTCACTTACAAACTCGTCCGCGGCCTCGAGCACCAGGACCACCATGGCCGACGCGGAGAAACCGCAGTTCGTCGCGAGCGACGGGACCGTCTTCGACAAGAAGTACAAGGTCAAGAAGTGCGTGGCGGCCCCCGCGCCTTCCCGCCCGCGGCTGCCCCGCCCGGCTGCCCCCGTGCGACGCCCATCGTACGCGTCGCAGGTACGAGTTCAAGCTCAAGTACACGTTCACGGACAAGAAGGGCGAGAAGCTGGCCAAGCCGCCGGGCGCCATCGACGGCCAGCCCTTCGACATGGCGGACTGCGAGGGCTGCGAGCTCGTCGTCGCGGACCGGTGCGACCAGGTGCAGATCGACGTGCTGAAGAGCTGCAAGGTCTTCGTGGGCGCGTCGAGCGAGGCCGTCTTCGTGCGCAACTGCAGCGACTCCGTCTTCTACCTCGCGTGCAAGCAGCTGCGGACGCGCGACTGCGTCAACTGCACGTTCTACCTCTACGCGCAGACGGAGCCCATCATCGAGACGTCGACGGGCATGAAGTTCGCGCCCTTCAGGGGCGGCTACGCGGAGCAGGCGGCCCACATGGCCGCGGCGAACCTGGACCCCGCCATCAACCTGTGGTGGGGCCTCTTCGACTTCAACGACGAGGCGAAGACGGGCAAGAACTGGTCCTACGTGCCCGACGCGGAGCAGGCCGAGCCCTGGTTCCCCAACGGCGGCGCGGACCAGGTCTGCGCGATCACGGCGCCCGGGTCGCGGTCGTCGCTCCCGTCGCAGAACGGCGGCAACTTCGGCAACTCCTCGGGCGGCATGATGTCCTTCGACTTCAACACGTCGCTCGAGGCCGCGGAGCAGGCCCACCTCGAGATGGAGGCCAACACGCAGCCCCCGCCGCCCGCCGCGCCGCCGGCCGCGCCGGCCGCCGCGCCGCCGCCGCCCGTCGCCGAGATGGCCGCCGCGACGATCGCGCCGCCCGCGCCCGCGCCGCCCGCCGCCGGCGCCGCGGGCGCGCCGCCGCCGCCGCCCGCCGCGGCCTAGCTCGCCTCGCCTCGCCCCGCGTCTGGCGTCGAGCACCGCCGGTCCTCCGCCTCCCGCCGCTCCGCCGCGCCCGCCGGGAACTCCATACAGTGCCGATTCGCGGGCGGACGCGCGGCGCGCGGGGTCGCCGGCGGGGGGATGTGCTCGCATGCCTGGCCTCGCCCCCGAGCAGATCGAGGCCCCACACCGCTAATTCTCGGTCTAGGGGCCAGCTAGGTAAGCGCGCGTCAGCGGCCGAGCGCCGCGCGGCAGCGGTCCGCCTGCTCTCCGATGGATCCCCCTTGCGGCACGCCCAGCGCCTGGCACGCGGCCGCGAGGGTGGCGCAGACCGGCGCTTCCGCGAGGCCGAGCTGGCGACGAAGGACGTCGCAGGTCTCGACGATCGTCGGCGTCCCCGCGCTGTGGATCACCGTCGCCGTCGGCGGTTGCACGCTGTGAATCACCGTCGCCGTCGGCGGTTGCACGCTGACGACCTCAGCTCGTACCACCCCCGGTTGTGCGGAGAGCTCGGACTCCTTGGCCAGCTCCGTCGGCTTCGCGCCCACTTCGACGGCGGGCTCGTAGAGGTTGCTCGCCGCGGCGTCGGCCTCGCTCTGAGCCAGGCCGAACAGCTGGGCCCGCAGCTCTGACTCCGTGGCCAGCTCCGTCGGCTTCGCGCCCACTTCGACGGCGGGCTCGTAGAGGCTGTTCGCCGCGGAGTCGGCCTCGCTCCTGGCCTTGCACGCGTCGCGTATCCCCTGCGCCAACTCGGCGTCGCGGTGGCCGGGCGCCACCTTCATGCCCGCCTGGTACGCGGCGTAGGCATCGTCGTACCTCCCCATCGCGTGCAGCGCCGCGCCCTTGCGCAAGTAGCCCTTGGGCCAGGTCGGGCTCAGCTCGATGCACTTCTCTGCGTCGGCGAGGGCCTTGACCGGGTCGCCCTTGCTCGTGAAGGCCGCCGCGCGAAGGCTGTAGTGGGTGCTCTTCTTGCTATCGAGGCCGATGGCCGTCGTGTAGTGGGCGATGGCGCCGTCGAAGTCATTGGCCTGGAAGCACTTGTTCCCGGCGGCGTCGTTCCAGTCGGCGGCTTTCGTCGAAGCGCCCTTGGACGCGGCGGCTTTGAGGTGGTCGCCCTGCTTGATGAGGATAAAATCGACTCGGATCGGCCTCCCGAAGCACGTTCCCGCTCTGAGCATCGCTTCAAATTCCTCGTAATCCACGAAGCCATCGTGATTCGTGTCGGCCGCTTTGAAGACGTCGAGCGACGGAGGCTCGCCGAGCAAAGGGCAGACCGCCGCGAAATCTTCCCAACAGATCCTGCCGCTCCCGCCGGCGCTCCGGTCGCAGAACTTGAACACTTCAAAGGGATGGATGGGCTTCCTTAGGAGTGCTTCGTTAAACTGAGTGTGACCCCGTTTAAATTTCTTCTTCGTCTCCTTGCTCTCGAGGATGAAGTCCTCGCTGACGCGGTTCTCGAGCACGCCGTCGTCGTAGCGCACGTCGTAGGTCCCGTCGTTGCGGGCCTTCGCGATGGTGGCCGGGAAGCGCTTGGCGCGGCCGCGGAACCGCGCCTCGACGCGGTCGCCCGCGCGGAACTTAAATTCGGCATGCGCGCTGGCCTGGCAGCCCATAATTCTACATCCAATGGGAATGGGAATGCTCAGCTCATATCGCGCAAGCCTAGCCGAACGTGACGACAAAACCTTGATTGACCTGCGTTGAACCTGGGCTCCACGCTTGACTCAATCCGCCGTCGCCTGTGCAAGGCCGCAGGTGCTGAGAGCATGATGGTGTTCCTCGCTCTCCTTGCAGGCGCGCGAGCCCTGCGGCCCGCGGCGCGGCCGCGATCGCTGGCGCGCGGCTTGGCGACGCGGCGTCCGGCGGCCTACGACGTCGCCGAGGTCGAGGCGCGGTGGCAGGCGCGCTGGGACGACGAGAAGACCTTCGCGAGCGAGCGGCGCGAGGGCCGCGAGAAGAAGTACGTGCTCGACATGTTCCCCTACCCGAGCGGGTCCGGCCTGCACGTGGGCCACCCGGAGGGCTACACGGCGACGGACATCATGAGCCGCTACTGGCGCATGCGCGGCTACGACGTGCTCCACCCCATGGGCTGGGACGCCTTCGGCCTGCCGGCGGAGCAGCACGCCATCAACACGGGCACGCACCCGCGGGAGACGACCCTGACGAACATCGGCACCTTCAAGCGCCAGCTCAAGTCGCTCGGCCTCTCGTACGACTGGGACCGGGAGCTGTCGACGACGGACCCCGACTACGTGCGCTGGACGCAGTGGATCTTCCTCCAGCTCTTCAAGGTGGGCCTCGCGGAGCAGAAGGAGGTGCCCGTGAACTGGTGCCCGGCCCTGGGCACGGTCCTCGCGAACGAGGAGATCATCGACGGCCTCAGCGAGCGCGGGTCGCACCCCGTCGTCCGCGCGCCGCTGCGCCAGTGGGTGCTCAAGATCACGGACTACGCGGACAAGCTGCTCGACGGCCTCGACGACCTCGACTGGCCCGCGGGGACCCTGCGGTCCCAGCGCGAGTGGATCGGCCGGTCCGAGGGCGCCGCGGTGAAGTTCCGGGTCCAGGGCTTGGAGGACGAGACCGTCGAGGTCTTCACGACGCGGCCGGACACGCTCATGGGCGCGACCTACGTGTGCCTGGCGCCGGAGCACCCCCTCGTGGCGCGCCTGTCGGACTCGAACCGGGAGGCCGTCGACGCGTACGTCGCCGCGGCGGCGCGGAAGTCGGATCTGGATCGGACGGCGACGTCGGAGAAGACGGGCGTGCCCACGGGGAGCTCGGTCGTCCACCCGCTCACGGGCGAGGCCCTGCCCCTCTGGGTCGCGGACTACGTGCTCGGCGCCTACGGCACGGGCGCCGTGATGGCCGTGCCCGCGCACGACGCGCGCGACTTCGCGTTCGCCGAGGCCTTCGACCTGCCCGTCAAGGTCGTCGTCGAGTCCAAGGCCGGCGCCGAGGACGAGCTGCCCTTCGTCGGGTCGGGCGTCGCCGTGAATTCCGGCGAGAAGTACGACGGCCTGAAGACGGCCAAGGCCAAGAAGGCCGTGACGTACGATCTCGATCAACAGGACGCGGGCGGCACGCAGGTGACCTACAAGCTCCGCGACTGGGTCTTCAGCCGCCAGCGCTACTGGGGCGAGCCCATCCCCATCACCTTCCCCGTGCTCGACGGCGACGGCGCGCCGTTGCAAGCGGACGGCGCCGTCGACCCGCGGACCGCGGCCGACGAGGCGTTCGTGGTGGACTACGCGAACCCCGCGCCCGTGCCCGAGGGCGAGCTGCCCCTGAAGCTGCCGGAGACGGACGACTACGCGCCCGGCGACGACCCGGCCGGGTGCCTCGCGCGCGTCAAGGACTGGCGCTTCTACGTCGAGGACGGCCGCTGGCGCGCGCGCGAGACGAACACGATGCCCCAGTGGGCCGGCTCCTGCTGGTACTACATGCGCTACGCGGACAACGCCAACGACGAAAAGATGATCGGCGACGCCGCGGACAAGTCCTGGCTGCCCGTGGACCTCTACGTCGGCGGCGCGGAGCACGCGGTGCTCCACCTGCTCTACGCGCGGTTCTGGCACAAGGTGCTCTACGACATCGGCGCGACGACGCACGAGGAGCCCTTCGCGAAGCTCGTGCACCAGGGCCTCATCCTCGGGTCCGACGGCGAGAAGATGTCCAAGTCGCGGGGCAACGTCGTGAACCCGGACGAGGTCATCGGCGAGCACGGCGCGGACGCGCTGCGGCTCTACGAGATGTTCATGGGGCCGCTCGAGGCCGTCAAGCCCTGGCAGACGGCCCAGGTGTCGGGCGTCGTGCGCTTCCGGGACCGCGTCTACGCCGCGTGCGCCAAGGCGTCCGCGGACGCGCCGCCGCTCGACCAGGAAACGGACGCGCTGCTCCACAAGACCATGCGCAAGGTCACGGGCGACATCGACGCCCTCGGCTTCAACACGGCCATCTCCGCGCTCATGGTCCTAGCGACGAAGCTCTCCGGCCTCGAGACGCCGCCCGCGGACGCGTGCGAGAAGCTCGCCTTGATGGTGAGCCCCTTCGCGCCGCACCTCGGCGAGGAGTGCTGGCGGCTCCTCGGCCACGCTGAGTCCCTCGCGTACGCGCCCTGGGTCGAGTGGGACGAGGCCAAGTGCGTCGACGCCACCGTGACCATGGCCGTCCAGGTCAACGGCAAGGTGAGGGCGACGATCGAGCTCGCGCCCGACGCGCCGGAGGACGAGGCGCGGGCCCTCGGCCTCGGCGACGCCGCCGTCGCCAAGTTCACGGACGGCAAGGACATCAAGAAGGTCATATACGTCCCGGGCAAGATCCTCAACGTCGTCGTCGCCAAGTAGGGGGTCCTTAGGCGTTAATAAGGTCGACGGCCTACTCGATGAGGTAGGGCGCGTAGCAGAAGACGCCCGGGCTCGCCGGCGGCGGCAGGGGCTCGCCGGCGTCGTTGTCGAGGACGTCGACGAGCTCGTGGGTCGTCGCGTCGGCGACCCAGAGCGTGAAGCAGACGCTGGGCGGGACGTCGGCGCGCGCGCCGCGGCGCTCGTAGGAGACCTGGACCCGCGGCCCTAGAACCTCGTCGTAGACGTTCGAGTGGCTCGGCTTCGCCTGGTTGAGCACGCGGACGCCCCGGGACGTGAAGGTCTTCCCGCCGTCGAGGGACACGGCGCCGCCGCCGAAGACGGGGTGCGTCGGGTCCGTCGCGTAGGTCGAGACGATCATGTGGCCGTCGAGCACGCAGTCGTCGTCCTCGCAGTAGTAGGACAGGGCGTAGTGGTTCACGTGGGCCTCGAGCGCGGGCCGCTGGGGCACGCTCGGCGCCTCGAGGGCGACGTCGAGGCACGTCTCCTCGAGGTCCGCGTAGTCGCCCGTGACGGCGTCGAGCGCCCAGAGCTTGGCGCAGAATTTTTCGGGCCGCGCGTAGGTCTCGGCCTGGAGCCAGCCCTTGTACTGCTTGGAGATGCGGCCCGTCGACACGCGCGGCGACGACGCGTTCCAGGTCATGTACTCCGTCTCGACGGCCAGGGGCTCCCAGACGCCCGAGCCGTCGAGCTCGAAGCTGCCGCCGACGCGGAGCCCGTGGAGGATCGACTCGGGCCCGATCATGGCCTGCGAGCGGGCCGGGTGCGACGGCGGAACCGCACTTTTGGACGCGGGGGAGAGGTACGATGACGTGCGCGTTGAGCTGGCAGGGGGCCGTCGTCGTGTTGTCGGGGCACACGAGGGCCACGTAGGTGCCTGCGCGCGCGGGGGTTCCGGGCGCCGGCGGCGGGGTCGCGAGGCGGCACCGTGGGAATCCGCCTCGTAGTTCATGAGCAGCGACGCCGACGAGACGCCGGCCACCAGGGCGGCGAGAAGCCCGCGCATCGTGGCCACCTTCTGGGCAGCCCAATTAGGCGCGCGTCAAGTAGCTCGCTTTACCCACCGTTCGTACAGGGCTGCCAACCGATAATGGTCGTACCTCCCGCCCTCGACGAAGATGTCGAGGCGCTGCGCTTGAAGCTCGAGGCCGTGGGCAGCGGCGCCCCCGCGGGCGGCTGCACGCCTGCACACCTCAAGGCGCTCGCCGCCGCGGCCCGCGGCGCCGCCGCGCGCCTCGAGGAGGACGAGATCCGCGCGCGGCGCGCGCCCGCGCCCGCGCCCGCGTCGCCCGCGTCGCCGGCGACGCCGGCGAAGAAGCCCGCGCGGGCGGACAGCGACAGCGACAGCGACGAGGGCGAGGCGGCGCCCCTCGACGCGGACCTCGTCGCGACGCTGCGCGCCGAGGGCGCGGCGCGGTTCAAGGACAAGGCCTACGGCGACGCCGCCAAGGCCTGGGGCAAGGCCGCGAAGCACCTCAAGGCCGCGCGCCAGCCCGACGCGAAGCTCAGCGTCCTGTGGCCGCGACGATGTTCGAGAGATTTGGGGCGGGGAAACGACGAGACCTCGTCGACGTCGCGCTCCGTAGGCGAAGCTGCTGTCGAACCTCGCCGCCGCGCAGCTCGCCGAGGACAAGTTCGTCGCCGCGGCGCACAACGCGGCCGAGTCCGTCGCGGCCGACGTGTGCTGGTGGAAGGGCCACTGGTACCGGGGCCAGGCGCTGCTCAAGATGGCGCGGAACAAGCCGCCGAGCCTCGCCATGTCCGAGCGCCTCGAGCAGGCCATCGCGGCCTTCAAGGCCTGCCGCAAGGCGCCGTCGCTGCCCGAGGCGAAGCGAAGCGACGTCGACGCGGAGCTGAAGAGCGCCGAGGCCCTCATGATGCACATGACGAGCGTGTGCAAGCAGCAATAGGGGCGGGGCGCGAACCTAACTCGAGGCGACATCGCTGCAAGATTGGGTGAAGCATACTAGTCCTGAAGCACCGTGTTTATCGCGAGTAAGCTACATTCTTAATTGCAAGTTATGCTCCGCCAGGGCTTAGACCGCGGGCGCACTTCAACAAGGACCTCAACACCGCCGCTTGTCCTTCCAAAGGGGGGTTACTACGCCTAGTCTCACCGGAATCTCAGCCCCCGACGCCGATGACGAGGCACGCGAGGAGCGGGTAGGCGACGGAGGCGGCGCCGGCGTAGCGGAGCGCGAGCCGCCGCGCGGCGGGGTCCGAGAGGTCGGCGGCGACCTGGCCGCGCCACACGCTCGGCGCGTGCCGCGCGCTCCGCTTCGCGTAGGCCGCCTCGAGGAGGGCCGACCGGGCTCGGGTCGCGGGCTCGCGCGACCGTCCGACGGGCGCGTCCGGCCGGCGCCGCCGCGTCGCGCGCCGCGGGTCGACGGGCGCTGCGTCCGCCGCGTGCGCCGGATCGCTCGCGTCGTCCGGGGGCGGCGCCGGGTCGGGATCGCCGGGAGCGCCGAGATCCCAGTTCGGATCCGCATCGCCGGCAGGGGTCATCTCCCACGCGAAGCGCCGCACGTCCCGCACGCTTTCACGCAGCGATTTCGGCATGAACTTTTGCCCCTGCCGGGGCGAGCCCATAATCAGGCCCTCGACGACCGCCTGGGAGGCGAACATGACCAGCAACGAGGCCAAGAGCAAGAGCATGCTGCAGGATTCGGTCGCTCGGTTCAACGGTGCCCTTCAGCGTTGGCCTTGCCCGCAACTGCGGGCACACGATGCGCTTGGCAATTGGGCTCCTGCGCCGTGCTGCTCCGGGCGGCCGTCGCGGCATAGATCCACGATTCGTAGACCGCACCCATGCTCGCGCCCTTCGCCTTCGCGACGGTCGCCTGGAACGCGGCCCTCGCCTACGCCGCGGTCGCGCCGCGGCCGCGCCTCTCGCGCGCCGCGGCCTGCGCGCTGAGCCCGGCGGTCTGCGTGGCCTACCTGCTGCTCGCGCAGCTGGCGCTGGGCGGCGGCGCGTGCTTCGGCGGCGACGGCGGCGTCGCGGACGACGACGCCGAGGCGGCGGCGACGGTGCCGTGCGCCCTTTTCGCGGCGCTCTTCGCGCAGAGCCTCGCGCAGCTCGGCGTCGCCGGCGCGGCGACGCGGCGGCGGCGCGCCGCGCCCAAGGCCGCCTGGCCCTGCGCGGGCGTCCAGGCGCTGACGCTCGCGTACTACGGCCTCGAGCGCGGCGGCCTCGCGCGCGCGGCGCGCGCGGCGCCCCTCGGCGCCGGGCTGCCGGCCGTGGCGACGCGGCCGCTCCACCTCTGCCTCCGTGAGCGCCCAGGTGCTGGCGCTCTACTGCGTCGAGCGCGACGTCGCCGAGGGGCTCGGGAAGCGCGCGCGCGCGGCCGCGGCCGCGGTCCCCGACGGGCCCGCGCGCCGCGCCCGCGTCGCCGCGCTGCGCTGCGCGCAGGCCATGTGCTGGGCGAGCTTCGCGGGCGACCACGTCCCGGGCGCCGCGCGCGCGGGGCCCGCGGCGTCGTGCGCGGCGTTCTACGGCCTGCTGCGCTGGGGCGTCGCCGCGCCCCTGGGCCGCGCGCGCGCGGCCGCGGAGGGCGCCGGCGACGGCGCGCTCGCCGGCCGCATCGCCCACATGCGCACCTTCTTCGTCGCCGCCTGGCACCTCTTCCCGGCCGTCTGGTTCGCCGGCGCTCTCGGGCTCGTGTCCGAGGCGCGCGTCCGCCTCGGCTTCGTCGGCTGCGACGTCCTCGCCAAGTTCCTCCCGGCCGCGATCTACGTCTCGCTCGCCGTGGACCCGTAAGTGAAGGACCGCGGCGGCACCGGCGTCGTCGCCTGCGGCGACATCGGATGCTTCTGTTCGCGCGGCCGGGCGGCGGCGAGGCCGCCTCCGGCGTCCTTTGCGAGGTCGGGTAGAAGGTGCCCGCGCCGGCCGTCAGGTACCACACGATGCTGTCGAAGCGAAGCGACGTCGTCGTCGACGCGGAGCTGAAGAGCGCCGAGGCCCTCATGATGCACATGACGAGCGTGTGCAAGCAGCAATAGGGGCGGGGCGCGAACCTAACTCGAGGCGACATCGCTGCAAGATTGGGTGAAGCATACAAGAGCACCGTGCTTATCGCGGGCCTACGCCTGCTTGCGCTTGAGCATGGAGGCGACGACGGGCAGCGCGTTCTTGACGACCGCGACGAGCGGCAGTACGACGTAGAGCGGGTCCGCGTGGGGGCACTTGGCCTCGACCATCACGGCACTGAAAACCCGGGATTTTGCCATCGTCGCGTAGCTCGCCTGGGGCACGCACGCGCCGACGGCCAGCGCGTAGTAGAGGCCGTTCGTCGCGAGCGAGTAGAGGAGGCGCGAGGCGAAGGCCGCGTCGAACGAACGGGCGCCGTCGGCGAAGCCGCGCGCCATGAAGTGGCGCGCGACGCCGCCGGCGACGTTGACGCACATGGCCGCGAGCACCGCGGCGAAGGGGCTGCCCGTGAGGCCGTGGGTCTCCTCCATCATGTTGAAGCCCGTGGTGACGTTGTCGAGCACGCCCATGGAGTCGAGGACGAGCGCGTGCACGACGGTCGTCGACATGAGCGCGAAGGCGCCGGGCACGAACTCGACGAAGCAGCACGCCGCGAGGTGCGCGGGGATCACGAGCGCGCTCGCGAGCGCCGTCGGCGCGCGGCCGAGGACGAGCAGGTTCGTGAAGATGTTCGCTGGCATCGTGTAGAACACGAACGTGGCCAGGACCGCGTACGCGAAGCCGGGGCCGGGCCGCGAGCCGGCGGGCAGCGCGTCGCGGTACCGCCGGAAGGCGACGTAGCCCCAGAGCGCGTTGCCCCAGCAGAGCGGCCACGGGTACGCCGACCGCGCGTCGAGCGTGAAGAGCGCGACGAGGTCGTCGGGTAAAAGGTGCCCGGCCGGCCGTCAGGTACCACATGATGCTGTCCATCATCGACGCGTCGACCATGACTTTTAGATCCCCAACACCAGAAAGTTGCGCTGCGTCGCTGCGTCGCACGCCGTGCTTACGAGGTGGTAGCAGCCTGCGAGCTGCGATCCGCCTCGCTTGTAAGTTTATATTGCCCTCAAGTTGGCCTTGTTGCCGCTGTCTCTTCTCTGCCCGAGCTCGCCGCCGCCCATCTCGCTCGACAAGTGCACCGCGAGCGCTTCCCACCGCACCAAAAAAAGCGCAAATCGCCGCCGCCAGTCTCGCCGTCGAGAAGTCCCACCGCACCAAAAGAAATGGGCCCAGCGAACCCGGACAAGTGCGCGGGCACGGTGCTCTGGTTCTCCAAGAGCCACGGCTTCATCAAGCCCGACGACGGCGGCGAGGACATCTTCGTCCACGGGAGCGACATTTTTCAGAAATACGCGAACGACGGCGATCGCGTGCTCTACGACGTCGGGACCCTGAAGGGCCGGCCCAAGGCCGTCGCCGTGGAGATCGTCGACGGCGGCGCGAAGGCCCGGAAGCCCAAGGCGGACAAGCCCGGCAAGGCGGACAAGCCCGCGCGCAGGGCGAAGCCGGCGGCGGCGGCCGCGGCGCCGGCGGGCGGCCCGCGCTACCGCGGCGTCTGCAAGTGGTTCAACAGCAAGAACATGCACGGCTTCATCACGCCGTCGGAGTCGCACGCGCTCGACCCCGGCGAGACGGACGTCTTCTGCTACGCCGAGGACCTCGCGCCCGGCACGACGCACGCGGACATGACGACGGGCGACCCCGTCGAGTACGGTCTAGGCACGACGAAGTCCGGCCGCGTCAAGGCCGTCGACGTCGCGCGGCTCGACGCCAAGGTCCGCGCGCGGCCGCCGAAGCCCCCCGCGAAGGCGCGCGGCGCGGCGCCGGCCGCGCCGCCCGCGCCGCCGCCGACGCCGCCGTCGCTCGACGCCGACGCGCGCGCGGCCCTCGCGGCCCTCGAGCCGGCGACGCGCGCGAAGATCCTCGAGAAGCTCGCGGGCGAGACCTCCGTGCGGAACCCGAGCGCGTACGTGTCCAAGGCCGCGCGGAACCACCAGCCCGTGCGCGACCCGGGCGCCTACGGCGCGCGCCCGGCGCCCCGCGGTCCGCGGTCCGCGCCGCCGCGCGCCGCGGCGCCGCGCGCGGCGCCGCCGGCGGCCCGGCCGGCGATGCGGCCCGAGGCGCTCGCGCGCGCCGAGTCGGACCAGCTCGCGCGCGCGCTCGCCGAGTCCGCGGCGGAGTACGAGGCGCAGCAGCGGGCCAACGCGTCGGAGCGCGAGTTCGAGGCCGCCTTCGACGACGGCGCGCCGCCGGACCCGGCGCCCGACGCGCTCGACGCGTTCCTCCGCGCCGTCGGCATGGGCCAGTACGCGCCGAACCTCCGCGCGGAGGAGATCGAGACCGTCGAGGACCTCGCCCTGCTGAGCGCCGACGACCTCGTCGAGGCGGGCTTCCCGCGCGACGACGCGGCCATCCTCGCGCGCGTCGTCGCCGGCCGGTAGGAGACGCGCCGGCGGTCGTTATCATGATAGTGAGTCACAAAGACGTCCACAAAGACCCGTTCGTTCGTTCGAACGCGCCGGCGGTTGTTATGGCGAGTCACGACGACCCGAACGTCCGAGAGCGGCGGCGCCCGCGGCGCGCGGGGGTGTTCCCGGGGATTCGGCGGCTTCAGGGCTCCTTCGGCAGGCGCTTGAACCGCATCTCCACGGCGAACCCGTCGTCGTACTTGTGGCTCTTGTCCTTGCAGGCCTTGTCGAGGTCCTGCTTCTTGATGACGAGGCGGTCGCCGTCGACGAAGGAGCAGTGGAACCAGAAGCAGAACTGCTTCGACTTGGACCCGGAGACGCCCTTGCTGTAGAAGGCGACGAAGACCTCGTCCGTGAGCAGCACGTTCGTGACGGGGATGACGACCTCGGGCGCGGGCTTGAACTTCTTCGCGAGGCTCTCGGGCGCGAGGAGGTCGCTGCTCTTGTACTCGCAGTCGCCGCAGTGGATCTTGAAGGAGGGCGCGAAGCCGCCGGACATGGGGTTGTGGCTGTAACTGCCCTTGAGGATCCGGAACTCGCAGAGCGCGAGCACGGCCGGCGCCGGGATCGCGCCGCGGTCGCCCGGCGCGAGCTGGAGCCGGTTCTGGCGGTTCCACTCGTGGTTGAGGAGGCGCGCGGACCGCTTCGCGTGGGGCCGGCCCGTGGCCGCCCAGAGGTGGTCGAAGCGCTCCATGCAGGCGTCGAGCTCGCTGAAGCCGAGCGTCCGCGCGTCGCCGGCGCCGCCGGCGTCCGGCGCCGCGCGCTCGTCGCCGTCGTCGTCCGTGTCGCTGTCCGGCGCCATGCAGGGCACGTCGGGCTCGTCCTTGACGGACCCCGGCGACGCGGGCTCCTCGGGCGCGTCCGCCGCCGCCGGTGGCGGCGCGGCCGCGGCGCCCGCGCCGCCCGCGGCGGGCCCGAGCGTCCGCGAGAAGTAGTCGACGAAGCGCCGCTGGCTCGGGATGGTCACGCCCTTCTGGTTCGCCGTGCGGGCGAAGCCGTAGAACTTCATGGCCTCGTCCGGGTCGGGCCAGTCGCCGCACCACATGAGGTACGCGGAGATCATGACGCCCGTGCGGCCCTTGCCCGCCTTGCAGTGGATCGCGACGACGTTGGCGGGGTCCGCGGCGAGGTAGGCCTCGACGTCCTTGCAGAAGAAGTAGAAGAGGCCCAACGGCGGCGGGTTGTGGTCGTCGAAGGGGAAGCGCACGAACTGGCCGTGGAAGCGGTCGCTCGGGTACGTCCGCTCGCTGCAGAGGTTGTAGAACTTGTAGTGGCCGCCGTGCTTCGCGTCGAAGAAGCGCTGCACGTCGTCGATGTCGTTGCGGTAGGCGCCCTCGAAGTCCGACGCGGGAAAGCCCATGGCGATGATGCGCGGGGTCACGTAGGTGAGGTCCAGGTCGAAGCCGTCCTCTTTGAGGCGCCGCTTCTTCTTCGACACGAGGGCCCGCACCTTGTCCTGCATCCACCCGCTCATCGCGCCGGGGCGAGCGCCGCGCGCCGCTCCGGGGCGGGTCGGCGGGAAGAGCGGCGCCAAAGGCGCGGGATCCCGGCGCGCTGGGCTGCCTGTTGCGAGGCTGCCTCCAGGCGCGCGCGGGAGCCGAAGACCAAAAAAAGATGTTTCACCGCAACGTCGACTTTTTGGGCGTCGCGATCGGGACTGCGATCGGGCAGCCCGATGGGCTCGACCCGGGTAGCGGTTGCCCTGCTCGCGGTCGCCTGCGCGGCGATCGCCCAGCCGGTGGCGCTCACGCCGGAGCAGGTCGAGATCCGCGCCAAGCACGCGGCGAAGAAGAAGAAGCAGCACGCCGAGTCCATCAAGCGCATGAAGTGGGAGCTCGCGTCGAAGCAGGAGGCGAAGAAGATGGCGACGCAGGCGCTCAGCGAGGGCGAGCTGCTCGAGGCCGAGGCCCGGCGGCGGCGCGCCGAGTCCTTCTCGCTGCGGCCGCAGGCGGCGACGGACATCGAGCTCGGGCCGGGCGAGTTCCGGCCGGCGACGCGGATGATGTACTACGACGAGTCGCACCGCGTGGCGTTCTGCGCCATCCCCAAGGTCGCGTGCACGGAGTTCATCCGTTTAATTTATCGGCTCCGCGGCGACGCGCGCTGGTGGACGGAGCCCCACTTCCGGTCGAACGCGCCGACGGTCATGACGCTCGGCCGCGACCGCGCGGCGGCGATCCTCAACGACCCGAACTGGACCAAGGTCGCCTTCTTCCGCGACCCGGCGACGCGCCTGCTCAGCGCCTTCCTCGACAAGTTCCTCGACTCGCCGAGCCGGGGCGTCCACGGCGACTACGGGCTCCGCCACTTCGGGCGGAAGATGAACTGGACGGCGTTCGTCGACGCGATCGCGGACCCGAACACGGACAAGCGCCGGCCCGAGGGGCTCCACATGGGCACGAACGCCCACTGGAAGCCCCAGCGCTTCACCTGCAGCCTCGAGAAGTTCCTCCCGGCCTACGCCTTCGTCGGGCGCTACGAGTCGCTCCGCGAGCACGCGGAGACGTGGCTCCGCGCCGCGGGCCTCTGGGAGAACCACGGCGCCCACGGCTGGGCCGCCCGGGACCGCCGGGAGCGCATCAAGCCGACGCCGGGCGCGCCGCCGCCCCTGCGCGACGAGATGTTCGCGCGGTCCGCGAAGCACCACACGAACAGCGACCGCCGCAAGGCCGCGTACCTCACGCCGGACGTCGTCGCGAAGATCCGCAAAGCCTACGCCATGGACTACGAGATCTTCGACAAGCTCGGCGCCCACCCGGACCGGAGCCCCGTGAGCGGCCGCGACTGGCGGCCGGACCGGCGCCGCGTCTGCGACCTCGGGCTGCCGAGGGACCGGCGCGACTTCGGCGCCTACTGTAAGAAAGCGCCCTAGGGCCCGCTCCCCGGACGGCCCGCCAAAAGAAGGTTGTGCATTTCGAACGCCGCCTTAGGCCTCGCTCGCGGCGTCGGAGATGGCGTCGCCGAGGTCCGAGAAGGACGACGTGAGCCGCTGGGTCCGGGGCTCCGGCGTCTGCTGCGGCGGCGGCCGCTTCGCGTCCGGATCGTGCGCCATGGCCACGAGGAGGAAGCGCAGGCTGATGCGGATGCGCACGAACCAGGACGCGCCCGAGCCCCCCGGGCTGCGCAGGGGCAGCCACTGGACCAGGGGCTCGTCGTCCGTGAGCGCGGAGAGCGGCACCTCGACGTCGCCGAGGTAGGACTCGTTCGGCGCGAGGCCGAGCGCCGCGAGGGGCGACGACACGCGCTGGTAGACGCAGACGTGGACGACCTGGGGCGGCCCCCGCGTCGGGAGCCGCGGCGCGCCCGGCCGGCGCGGCGACGCGAGGTCCGTCGACGACCGCGCGCGCTCCGCCGGCGGCTCGTCGGCCGCCTCGGGCGGGAGCACCTCGTCGGGCAGCGCAAACCGAAAAGCGGCGCCGACGCCCCAGGACGCGCCGCCGCCGACGGCGGCGCTCCGCGGCGGCGCGCGCGCGACGGCCGAGTCGCGCGTCCGCAGCCGCTCCGACAGCGGCGGGCTCGGCCCGCCGCCCGGCGGCCGCGCGTGCTTGAGCCGCAGCACCGCGTGGGCGTCGGGCGGCGCCGCGGCCACGGGCTTCGCCCCCGGCGCGTCGCCGCCGCCGCCGAGGCTGCCCTCGAGGTTCTCCAGCGCGACGAGGTCGACCTGCACGAGCGCGAGGAACCGGTGCGCCATGCCCGCGCGGCGGTACCACGCGTTGCGGTGGAGGTAGCGCCGCAGGCGGCAGCGGAAGGGGCTCGCGCCGTCGGCGGCCTCGCCGTCGCGCGCCGACGCCGCCGGCGGCGGGGGCCACGCGCGGCACGCGGCGCCGAGCGACGCGTCGTCGCGCTCGTCGTCGCCGTGGCGGCTCGCGGGCGGCCGCGACGCGGCGACGGCGCCGGCGACCCAGGCGTCGCGCCGCAGCGCCGCGCCCAGGGGCCGCTCCTCGCGCAGGATGAGGCCGCCGCCGCCGCCCGGCGGCCGCGGCGGCGCGTCGTCGTCGTCGCCCCGGAGCCCCGCGGAGATGGGCGCGTACCAGCGGCGGCCCAGGGCCGACGTCCGCAGCAGCGACGCGCCCATGTCGTCGTCGTCGATGGGCTCGACCTCCCAGGCGTCGATGAAGCGCAGCTGGCGGTCGCCGCCGGCCTCGGCCTTGGGCGACGCGCCGCGGGCCCGGTCGTCCTTCCTCGCGGGCTCGCCGGCGCCCACGGGCGCGACGGCGGCGACGACGCGCGCGTCCTGCCAGTGCTCGAGTCGGCCCAGAGCGGCGGCGCGGTCGCCGTCGTGCGCGTGGTCCACGAGCCACGCCGCGGCCGCGTCGGGCGAGAAGCACGCGCTCACCAAGGTGCCCCGCGACGCCGCGCCGCCCCAGGTCGGCAGCCGCGGCGGCGTCAGGGTCACGCCGCTCCGCGGGTGCAGGAGCTGGGCGAGCACGTGGCCGTCGCCGGCGCCGTCGCCCTCCGCGGGGCCGCCGCGGCCGCGGCCGCCGCGCGCGGCGTCGCGGAGCCCCGGCGTGAGCTGGCTCAGGAGCCGCCGCGTGAGGGCGACGCCGCGGCGCTCGAGGGCGGCGCAGAAGGGCGGCGCGCCATCGGCCGCCGAGTCGGCGCCGCCCGCGCCCGCGGCGTCGAAGACGCGCGCGGCCGCGGCCGCGCGGCGCGGCGCGCGCGGCGCGGCCGCGGCCCCCGCGGGCGCGCAGAGCGCGCCGAGCTGCTGGAGCAGCGCCGCCGCGGCGAGGACGTCGAGGGCCGCGGCGTCGCGCGCGGCCGCCGCCCACCAGCGGCCCGGCGCCCAGCCGTCGTCGGCCGCCGCCGCGCGGTCGCGGCTCGCCAGGCTCCGGTTCGACGGCAGCGACGACGGCAGGTCGCTCCGCGGCGGCAGCGCGCCGTCGAGGGACGCGTTGGGCCAGTCCGACGGCGCGCCGGCGCGCGGGCCGCCGGCCGCGGGCGCGGGCGCCGCCGCGGCGCCGAGCGCGAGGCCGTGGGGCTCGAGGCGGTCGCTGATCTCCGCGAGCATCGCGAGGAGCGACGGCCGCGGGCCGAGCTTGCCCGACGTGTAGCGCAGGCCGCCGCCCTCGGCGGAGACGCGGATGATGGCGTGCTGCACGCAGGTCGCGGGCGCGGCGTCGGCCGCCGCGCGCGCGGGCGAAGTCGGCGGCGTCGCGTCCGGCGCCGCGGCGACGAAGGAGATCGCGATGGCCGCGGACTCGTCGGAGCCGCCGCGCTTCGCGGACTGCTGCTGGGGCCGCAGCACGAAGGCGCCCAAAGCGCCGCCGGCGAGCGCGCGCTCCGCGCCGCGGCGGTCGAGCGCCTCGAGCCGGTCCCAGCCGCCGTCGTCGCCGAAGCGCCGCGCGATGGTCAGCGCGTTCGCCGCGCACCTGGGCGTCTTCGCCGGCGTCGCCGGCGCGGGCGGGGGGGCCGCGACCTTGTGCCGCGGCGCCGGCGGGTGCCGCAGGAGCAGGCCGAGCGCCGTCGCGCGCCGCTCGGGCGCGCAGCACAGCGCCGCGCAGCGGCACGCCGCGGCGGCGTGGCGCAGCGCCGACGCGTCCGCGAAGCCCTCGAGGGCGTGCGCGGGCACGACCGCCGCCGCCCGGCGCCGCTCGCGGTCCTCGAAGGCCGCCGCGGACTCCTCGACGACCGCGATCTCGCACTCGCCGCCCGGAGCGCCGACGGCCGCGCCGCAGCTCAGCGCGGCCGCGGCCCGCAGGTCCTCGCCGAGGTCCGCCGCGTCCGCGCCGACGTCGCGCCGCGGCGCGGCGCCCGATGGCAGGCGCGCGTGGCGCAGGCCGCCGCGGCTCGCGCCGACGAGGAAGCCGCGCGCGGCCGCGCGCGCGGCGCCCGCGTCCCGCGCGCACGCGGCCGCGACGAAGCACGCGGCCGTCAGCGGCCGCCGCCGACCGAGGACGCCGGCGAGCGCCGCGTCGCGGAGCGCGCGCCGCGGCACGCCGAAGGTGTCGCAGAAGGCCGCCGCGTCCGCGGCGAGCGCGGCGACGGCCGCCGCGTCCGCGCCGCGGCAGCCCGCGGACCGCGCCGCGCGCGCGGCGTCGCGCGCGAGGCGCCGCGCCGCCGCGCCCAGGGCCGCCGCCGCCGTCAGCAGCTCGAGCGCCAGGACCTCGTTCCCGTCCGGCGGCGTGTCGGACTCGTCGCCGCTCGACTCGCCCGACTCGTCGTCCGCGGCCGCCGCGGCCGCCTCCGCGGCCGGCGGCTCCCGCCCCGGCGGCGCGGCGTCGAAGCCGTCGAGCATCGACGGCGGGGCTCGTCTCTGGGGCGCGGCGTCGAAGCCGTCGAGCATCGACGGCGGGGCCGGTGGTCGTTGCGGCGCGGCGTCGAAACCGTCGAGCATCGACGGCGGGGCTCTCTGTTGCGGCGCGGCGTCGAAACCGTCGAGCATCGACGGCGGGGCTCTCCGTTGCGGCGCGGCGTCGAAGCCGTCGAGCATCGACGGCGGCGCCTTTGGCCTTTGCGGCGCGGCATCAAAGCCGTCGAGCATCGACGGCGCGGCCGCCGGCGGCCGTTGCGGCGCGGCGTCGAAACCGTCGAGCATCGACGGCGGGGCTCTCCGTTGCGGCGCGGCGTCGAAACCGTCGAGCATCGACGGCGCGGCCGCCGGCGGCCGTTGCGGCGCGGCGTCGAAACCGTCGAGCATCGACGGCGGGGCTCTCCGTTGTTGCGGCGCGGCGTCGAAGCCGTCGAGCATCGACGGCGCGGCCGCCGGCGGCCGTTGCGGCGCGGCGTCGAAACCGTCGAGCATCGACGGCGCGGCCGCCGGCGGCCGTTGCGGCGCGGCGTCGAAACCGTCGAGCATCGACGGCGGGGCTCTCCGTTGTTGCGGCGCGGCGTCGAAGCCGTCGAGCATCGACGGCGCGGCCGCGGGCGCCGGCGCCGCGGGCGCCGCGGCCGGCCGTTTCGCCGCCTCGACGCGCGCCACGAAGACGCGCTCCGCGTCGTCGCCCGCGCCGTCGTCGGCGGCGAGGACGCGGAGCGCGGCCTCGGGCGTCGCGCGGAGCGCGGCCGCCGTCGCCGCGGCGAGCGCCGCGCGGCGCGCGGCCGGCGCGCCGCGCGCGCCGAGGCGCGCGAGGAGCGCCGGCGCCGCGAAGGCCGCGTGCGTGCGCCGGAAGTGGTCGAGGGCCCGCGGCCGGCGCGCCGCGGGCGCGAGCGGCGCGCTCTCGTCCGCGAGCGCGACGAGCGCCGCGCGCGCGCCGCGGACGCGCCCGAGCCAGACCATCGCCGCCGCCGCGAGCGCGTGGTCCCCGTCCCGCAGGAAGGCCGGCAGCAGGAGCTTGCGGAGCACGCGGCGCGCCCATCGCCCGCAGCGCAGCGCGTCGCCACCGTCCGGCGCCGCCCGGTCGTCCGATAGCCGCGCGAGCGCGAGCGCCAGGTCCGGGTCCCGCAGCTTGTCCAGGGCGACGCGCGCGGCGTCCAAAACAAAGGGCGGCTCCGCCAACAGGAAGCAGGCGGCGGCCATGGCGTAGTCGTGCTTCGCGAGCAGCGCGTACGCGTTCTTCCGCGCGGCCGTCCGGCCCCGCGGCGTCCCGAAGTCGAAGGCCAGCAGCTTCCCGAGCTTCGCCGCCGCCGCCGCGCCCGCGCCGCTGCCCCGCGACGCCTCGGACCGCGCGAGGGACGCGAGCGTGGGCTTGGCGCGGCCCGCGGCGACGTAGAGGAGCGCCGCGGACCGGCTCGCGGACCGGCCGCGCGCGTCGCCCGCGCCGCCGGGCCGCGCCGCGAGGCGCGCCGCGGCCTGGGCGCAGGCCTCGACGCAGGCGCGCAGCAGGCGCGCGGGCGCGAACCAGGCGACGCGGTCCGCGCGGAGCGCGGCGAGCGCCGCCGCGCCCGCTTCCCCCGGGTCGCCCGCCACGCGGCCCGGCGCCGCGTCGCACGCCTCCGCCGCGAGATCCGCGCGCGCCGGGTCCAGGAGCGCCGCCAGCGCCGCCGCGGGGAAGAGGGGCGCGCCGCCGGCGACCGCGTCGCGCGCGGCGGCGGCCGCCGCGAAGAGTGGCGCGGGCTTTTCGCGCGCGGACTCCGCGGCCGCGGCGACCCGCGACGCGTCGTCGCCGTCGTCGCCGGCCTCGTCGTCGTCGGAGTGGCCCTCGGGCGCCGCGGCGACGCCCGCGACGGCGGCCGCGCCCGCGCGCGCGCCCGCGGCCGCGCCCGCGCGCGCGCAAACCGCGGGCCCCGCGTCGCGCGCGAGCGTCGCCAGGGCGACGCCGGCGAGGGGCGCGGCGTGGTCGAGGCGCGCGACGAGGCGCCCCG